TTAGTTATCATATGAAATGAAATTAAAAAGAATAATGGAATACAATGTCATTTAATTTTTAAATTTAATAACTTTTTATTTTAATCTTATTTACTTCATATTAATTTTCAAATTTAATCTCTTTTATTAATTTAAATTCATATTATACTGAAAGATTAAAAGTTGGTTTTTATCTTTGCATAAACATAAATAGGCAGTCACAGTCAGGTAGATGGAGAAAAATACTAATTGCAGCACCCAAGATTGACCATTCTAAAATTGTGGAGTGAAGACAATCACTTCCTCCAATAAGTATTAAAGTTATTTTCCCGACCCCACGTGCAGGAAATGTGTTTAGGATTTCGTAATTTAATTGTACACATTATGCTTTATATGTTTTTGTCATGCGATTACTGTTAGTACCAAGATTAGGGATGGGTATAGATCCGAACTCAACGGATTTCGACTCAATCTAACTCGATCAGGTCGGATCGAATTTTTTTAATATGATGTTGGGTCGGGGTTGAGTTTCGGTTTATGGTGAAAAATATTCGGTCTGACCCGACCTAAAAAAATATATAATTTTACCTTATATATTTAGGAATAATTACGATAATACATTTATATATATATATTCAATTAATTCATTGTTTTTATTAAATAAAAATGATATTTTTTTATTATTTCGGGTCGGATTTTTAAGTTATATATCAGGTCGGATTCAGAACGGGTGAAATCTTTTTTGTTCGAGTCGGGTCGGATCTCGAATGGAGGATTCTTTGTTCTTGGGTCGGGTTGGGTGGACCAACAATCCGACCCATACCCATCCCTAACCATGACTTTGGCCTTATCAGTTTTTTTTCTATCGAAATAATCTGATAGTATCCGTTTAATTTTGAAGGATTCTGCATACGGTCCAACACGTTATTCCAATAATCAAGTCTGTTATTGTTACATCCCTAACACATTCTCTTCAATAAAGGTCTCTTCATGATTATATAATGGTAGTTATATTTTTCTGGTGAAATAAGATCAAACTGTCATCTTCGAATCTTTGACAAATAGGTTTATGCTCACATAGAAATGTGTTACATCTAAACAGTATAGAGCTAAGGTTTAGGAAGAACAAGTGTCTACTCTAAAATTTTATTTTTTTTAAATTTGTTATTTATTTTGGTAATTATGTTTACTCTAAAATCTTATTTATATCTACACATGAATAAACATTTTACATTATTAAAGTATGTGGATGTAACTTTAAAAATATTTATGAATCCTCTGCTGAATATAAGATTTTTATCATTATATCCCCCACATGTCAGCCAACCATTTCCCATCACATACAAGATTTTACAAAAATGATGTATATTATTTGTAGACATTGAATTTCATCCGAATCATTTTCAGTTGGTTTTATTTCTATTGGGCCTTGCACTCAATTGCAAGTGTTTAAAATGTCTAGCTTTTATTGTCTAACTAGGCATTTAGGCCTTTTATTTTACATTTTTGAATCATGGACCTGGATTCACGTTTTATGCCTTGGGCCCATCGCAAGTTGTACAATTGTAAATTTATGATTAATCTTATCATGATCTAAGTTTATCAACTCAAAGAACCCATTCAACAGTCTCAATGCGGTAAAAGTGAGTGTTGATTTTCCTAGAAGTTTTGAGTTCGAGCAGTTGCATACACGGGTATGTGCACGTTGACAATAATAAAAAAAAATTAAACATATATTATCTTATAATCACCTCAGACTATTCAAAAAAATTAATTCAAAAGAAAATCTTAAACTCTTTACAGATAATTTTATAAAAATCTATAAATAATTGTACAAGATTGTGATGTAGAAGAAAGAATTTTGGTAACTTGGAAGGTCTTTTATCCCCAAAAATCTCATAAATTAATTCTATATAATGCTACCAAGTTGAGCAAACAAAGGGTGTGAAAGTAGACATGTTGGTATTAAAGGTAGGTTTTTAATGATAATTAAAAAAATTTGTTGGGAGATTTTCCTTGGACGTTTTCAATTGGTTCCTTGGACACGAAACATAAAGTCATGTTCTAACTATCAAAGGGTTCATCCAAGTTGCTTTATAATTTGCATATCCTACTATTGGCTCTGATGTTAGTAAAATAAGAAACGTGATAAAATAACAAAAAATGAATGGATTTATACGATATTTCCATATAGATTTTTTTTATCGTAACAGGAAAATTAGGTTTTACGGATCTAAAATGATTAAAATTTATTAGTACAACATTAAAATTTGATCATTTTAATATATCTATCATTAATTCTTGTATATTTGAAAATGTAAATATTAAATCTATCACCAGGTTATTAGACTAAACCGAAATCCATCGAATCCGAGTCTTATACCCATCTATAAGGAAATATTTGATTTAAAAAAAATAATATTAAATGTGCCTCCAATTTGTAGTACTTGACTTTGAGAGATACTTGAATAACTGGGGAAATGCTTTCTCAAAGATAATAAAAAAAAAGGAAAGAAATAGTATTATCAATGACTAAATTTTTTTAACAAAAATAATAATATAATCACTCCCATAATGTTTAAAAATAAATAAATAAATGAATATAACATTTCACTTTTTATCTCACTTGTAAAATTTTAATATATATATATATATATTAAAATTTTACAAGTGAGATGAAAAATTAATCAATCAAATATATATATATATATATATATATAATTAATCTATCAAATAAGTTTATTTTTTAATCCAAATAAATTATCTTATATTTAAAAAAAAGTAATAAACAAGGTGGTCATTTGAATTTTTTTTAATCATATTTGTGAAGTTAAAAGACTCCACTTTAATTTAATTTACTTTTTAATAGAAGCAATTAGTCTTATTAAAATGTAAAAAATATCTAAAATTGTAATAATAGTTTACATTAACATCGTAAACTAAATACATAATTCGACATTTTCTTATAATATTGAAATAAGAAACTAGTCACTTTAGTTATATACGAACCATACATGGAAAAGATTAAAAACTCAACCAAAAGAGTCAAACGATAAATTGATACGAATAAATATGATTGCATTAGTAAACAAACCACAAAAGCAGATTAAACTATTGAAAGACTACTGAGAACACCAAAATAGAAATGAGCATCGTGAAAAAATTATCCATGAATACAAAATCACGTATCCGAATTTAATTCGAGAGTCCAGAGCAGGGAAGATTAATAGGATTACAATTAAGCGTTATTTTGATCAATCTTGGTGTCATCAAATTCAACCCTAAAAAACATAAATTAAAAAAATCCAACGATCAAGAAAGAAGACGAAAAGAATGCCACAAAATCATAATTATTCTTATTAAAAGAATAAAAAAATAAAGAAAAAAAAGAAAATCGACGATCGACAACCAATATCAAAACTGGTGTCACAACCGACTAAATAAAATTAAAGAAAAGAAAATTATCTGATCTACAGAGAGTGGCACAAACTCTAACAAGAAAAGCGAGAGGCCACTTTAATTTATTAATTAATTAATAATTATATAAATTTTGATACATTAGTAATTTGTATCATGTTTATTTCATATACTATCGTATTTGATATAGATTTTAACATGCACAGGTAGCTATAAGAAACTATAAATAAACTGTTGATTATATTTATTTATAGAACCAGTTGGTACTTAGTATAATTCAATTTGAAATAACTTTTTGAGAGAATTAATCTAAATTTATTCAATAAATTTAAATGCATTCATACGCATATATGCATAATTTTATGACAAGAGGAATTGAGATTTTACTGTGAATGATTATTGTTTAATATTTACAGCTGAATGCCCTTTTACAACAACTCAAATTATCAATGGACCTCGCCACAGGATGGTACTAAAACTGTGAGTTGAGTTTCATGTATTATTGATGGAGAATTATTTCACGTAATAAAACGGGATTTTATTAATTTATGTGTTTTATTTATAATTTAAAGTTGGCAAAAGGGTAACTTTTGCCTATGTAGTAAACCTAGTTTATCACTTTCGTCCCTATCATATTTTCGCATCGATTTAACCCTCGAAGTTTCTCTATTTCATCATTCTATACCCTACCTTAAAACCCTAAACTATGAATCTTAAACCATAACTCCATTACCTCTAAACCATAACCCTTGAACCCTAAACATTAGCTTATGACTTATAATTTAGAGTTTTAAGTTGGGGGAGGTATAGAATGATGCAATTAAAAAATTGTGAGAGCTAAATTGATGCGAAAATACGATAGGAGAGAAAATGATAAATTGAGTCTACTACAGGGGTACATGTGGCCCTTAAGCCTTTAAAATTTCAAATTATTTAAACTTTTCATATAACATTCAAATAATGAATATACAAAATTCATTAATGTTCTCCTTAAAGGTCTCATATATATGTTCATTGTTAGATGATTAAAAAATTACAAATAAATAATATTTTATAATCATCTCTTATTAATAAAAAATTATTCATACATACATTATAAGCATTATTTATTTCATCAAAGAATCAATACAGCAATTAATCAACACGCAAACAACATCATCTAATAGTGACCCATTTGAGCCTCACTCTCTCTATCTTCATCTATTTCGTTTGGAGGAGGTGACAAACAATAATATATAAATTCTATAGGATAGAATGTTCAATGATCAATATAATTTGAAGCAATTTCTATATATTATGTAAGTTGGATTTTATCAAAAAAATAATATGATCAATACACAGCAAACAAGTAATTAAATTCAAACTCAATTGAATAAATTGATTTAAATAATAATCTTTAAAAAATAATTATCATAATCCTATATGTAAACTCAATTTCAGATTAATGCGACCAAAAAAAACTAATACTTGAGCAACAAATTTGACCACGTGTGTGCTGTTGTTCAAGACTGAATATATACATACTTAAATCAAAAGTCAAATAACTTCAGTACTATAAATACTACACGCCGTCGTAGCCATTTTATCCAACTCTTTCTCTCATCAATTTTCCCTATACAATGTCCGGCCACCCCTATTACTCCCCACCACCACCACCACCACCGTCACCACCCACCAACTGCACACCGCAGCCACCTCCACCGCCACCCAAATGTAACCCATGTCCTTGCGTATACATATGCGAATTCACTCAACTTCCACCACCACCCAATAACGTAACACCGGCTTGGGCCCCAATACCACCACCACCACTACCACCATCACCTTCACCAGACCACACTGTTATTTTAGCCGTATCCGTCTCACTAGGAGGAGCCTTTTTCATTGCATTCCTAGCAGTAGGTCTCTTTTGCTTGGCCAAGAGGAGGAAGAAGGTGGTGATCATTCCTCCTCCGGTTGAAGCCACCGCCTGCGTCGAGGAACATCAACATATCGAAGAGACCATCACCACCAGCCCATGTGGAGACCAGACTGTGACTGTCACCGTCGATGACGACGTTCGAGTTCATGAAGCTGTTGTTGAACCTCTTGATTACGATAGGCCGTCTTATAGTCACGCTGATGGCCATCTCAAAACTGGTTAACCTGCAAATGACACGCACCTCTTCAAAAGGCTCAGCCCGAGCCTGCTTAAACCGTCGAATAAATATATGCAAGTTTGTAATCTATTTTATTTAGCTGTAGTTTTTATTAAATTCTATGGGTCGTTTCTATAGTTAATGCTTGTATTGTCCGGGTGATTCCTATTGTTGGTCGAGCACTTCGTTTCCCATTGTTGTAATTAAACTCCATTATTATATGTTTGAATTAGGAAAGAAAATTTATTTTTATCGGTATGAGATGGTTATAAGATAGTATTTAAAAAAATCAATTAATAATAAACACACACCATGCAGACTCAGCTGCTTAAATACGAAATTTCTAAAAAAAATAGTATTCAATTTTATCACTGAAATCGATCAACAGATTCATAAAAGAGAAAACTAAATATATTTGATTTGTCGATTTTTATACTAGCTTGATGATGGGATTGAGTTTTGTTAATGTTTATTGGTAGGTCTGTAAATGAACTGAACGTTCAATGAACTGTTCGTGAATCGTTCGGTGAGAAATTTATTTATGTTTATTTATTTATTAAATGAACGAACATAAATAATATTTTGTGTTCATTTAATTGAATGATTGAATAAGAACAAAATATTCGTTCGTTCATTTACGTTCGTGAACGTTGATAATCTGTTCGTTTATATTCGTTCATTTATGTTCGTTCGTTTGTGTTCATTATGCTCATTTATGTTCATTCATTTTTGTTCGTTTATATTCTCTAGACTCGTTTGAAATATAAAGACTTAATAAATGTTGCTTAAACCCATTAATATTTTTAAACTCAATTAATTTTAAACTCAAATAAAATGTACTCAAATCAATTAAAGAAAATATAATTCCTAAATTTATTTGAAAAGAAAAAAAAACTCTTCTCAAATATAAACCCAATTAATTTTATGTTCGCTTGTTTATGTTCGTTCGTTTGTGTTTGTTACGTTCATTCATTTTTGTTCGTTTAACATTTAAATGAATGAACATAAATGAAAATGAACAAGAAATTTCGCTCATTTAGTTGTTCGTGTGTGTTCGTTAATTAGATTAAAGTTAAATGAACGAACATATACATACATTCGTTCATGTTCGCTCGGTTTAGTTACAGGACTAATTGTTGTTTTAACCTCACATAAATTGTTTGGAAAGTAGTCAAGGTCTAAACATAACGAGTATTTAAGAAAAGAGAAAATCGCCTCAGTGACCAAAAAAAAGTTATAATATACGATTTTAACCAACTTTATTTGGATTTGCCAAAATGACCAACAAAATCGCAACGCAAAATAAAAATCGCAACGCGATCCCCAGAATCGCAAATCAGTTTCCAAAATCGCAACGCGATTCTTGAAAATCGCAATGCGATAGTACAAATTCGCATTGCGATTTTCCAAAATCGCAACGCGAATATGAAAATCGCAACGCGAACACATAAATCGCAACGCGTATCCGTAAATCGCAACGTGTATCCGTAAATCGCAACGCGTATGGGTAAATCGCAATGCGTATCCGTATATCGCAACGCGTATCCGTAAATCGCAACGATAATCCGTAAATCGCAACGAGAATCTGTAAATCGCAACGATAATCCGTAAATCGCAACGAGAATCTGTAAATCACAACACTGAAATTTTGGGTATATAACACTGAAATCATAAACTAAATCCCTAAATCGCAACTCATTCCATCTCCATCTATCACTCTCTCCGGCGACATCCGTTCCTATATCCAACGACATCCTTCCCAATCCGGCAACAGGTTTTAGTTTCGCAGCTCGTCTGTTTAGTAAATTAATTTACAACCATGAAATCATCTAATGTTGATCATGTTTGGATAGATTTGTGTTTTGGAGGGTCATGGGATAATGTTCATGGTGTTTTACAATATATGCCTTTACCCATGAATCTTCAACTAAAATTGTCTTTACAAAAGTTAACTTATGAAACTCTAATGCTACGTGTTTCAAATAAATTGAATTTAGAGCCCCTAAGTGGATTTAGGCTATCTTATCAGAGAAATGGTAAAGTTTATTTGTTAACCGACAATGAAGATGTTGAACGATTCATTGCTTACATTAGTGTTTCACAAGATGATGTTACATTGTATGTTGTTGAACCTAGAAGTAGTATTGTTGGGTCAGTAGCGGGTAGTAATCAACTAAGTTTTTCTCAAAACCCACAACCTTTCTCTAATCCAAATCCCAATCAACTTTCAGCACCAAATTCCGGTTTTCGTATTGACCAGTTAGACGATGATGAGCCAACAGAAAAAATTGTGAGTACTAGTCAGTATTCGAAATTTGGTCTTGGTCAATATCCGGACTTTGATATTGGTCAATACACGGATTTTGATGATGTTTCAGAAGAAGAAACAGACCATGCGTGTAATGATATTGATATTGGTCAATACCCGAATTTTGATGATGAAACAGCCGTTGCCGAAGAATGTATTGTTGATGATAATGAGGAGGAAGTTACGACTGTGAATGAACATGTTGAACATCCATTCTGTAATTCATATAATCCTGAAGAAGAAAAAGAAGAAGAAAAAGTCCCCGAAGAAAAGAAAATGCCACGGGCGTATAACTGGAATATGCCAGAATTACTTCAGATACCGGAAGAAGAGTTGATAAAGAAAGCAGTTGATTGTTACACAAAAGTTATTCGTATCAAGAAAGATGATTGTTTTGATACAAAGGAAGACTTGAAGATAGCTTTATATACGAAATGTGTGGAAGATGGCTATCAACTAAAAGTTAACAAATCAAGCAAAGATCGTTTCGAAACAAGGTGTATGATTGACAAAAACTGTACGTGGCGTATGATTGCAAAGAGAATAAAAGATTGCAAAATGTTTCAAGTTAGGACTTTTATTGATAAACATACATGTTCAAGAACCCAAGTTTTTCCTCACCATAGACAGGCAAACAAAAAGGTGTTGGGTGGTTTTCTGGCTGAGTTAATGTTTTTGAATGGCAGGGTATATCGGGGACATGAAATTATGACTGACATGAATGCTCGGTTCAAGATTAGTATATCATATTCTCAAGCTTGGAGAGCCAAATGTTATGCCTTGGAATTGTTGAGGGGGTCGCCAGAAGCATCGTTTGCCCAACTGCCGGCTTATTGTCACAATTTAAAGCTGAAAAATCCTGGGTCGGTAACTCATATCAAAACAGATAGAGATGGACGCTTTGAGTTGCTGTTTATCGCCATTGGTGCTACGGTTAGTAAATCAATATAATTTTGTTGACTCATTTTTGTTAGTTACATGCATTTCACATTTAAATGATTATATTTCTTGTGTATATTATTTTGTAGATTCGTTCGTTTATTACTTGCATGTGCCCAGTTATTATAGTTGACGGAGCACATTTGAAAGGTCAATACCTTGGAGTAAACTTATTAGCAGTAGCCATGGATGCTAACAATGGGATATTGCCAATAGCTTACGGGGTTGGCAAATCTGAAACCTCTGATTCATGGACATGGTTTATGGGGCATCTTAGGGATTGCATAGGTCCTATTAGCAATCTGACAATCATATCCGATAGGGCAAACTCAATTGACAACGCTGTTAGAAGGTGTTTCCCAGATGCTTTTCATGGACTTTGTGGTGTTCATTTGTATAGAAATCTAAAATCAAGGTCTGCTGGTATAAAAAAGCACAAATGGACATACTGGAAGGCTGTAAAAGCTTATCGGGAAGTGGATTTCAATAAGCATATAAATTGTTTAAGACGTGTTTTGCCTCAGTGTGCTCAAACACTAGAAGATGTCAGGTTTGAAAGATGGTCAAGAGTACATCAACTTGGAGCAAGATATGGTTTCATGACGTCTAATAGTGCAGAATCAATCAACGCTCTAAGTCGTCATTCCCGGAAATTACCCATTACTATGTTAATGGAGTTTTTTCGAGCCTCTATTCAACAGTGGTACTACAAGAAAAGAAACCATGCAGGTATTATTTCTTTGAATTCGTAACTTATCATATTTATATTTTACTAAGTATTGTTTATTTAAATTTACAGGAACATTGGAACATCGTGTTACACCATGGACTGAAAAAAAGATAACGAAACGTGTTGTGAAGTCAACGTCATGGAGAGTTGAACCATGTTCAAACACTTTGTTTCAAGTACTGGATAATAACTTAAATGGGCTAGTCGATCTAAATGCAAAGACGTGTAGTTGTATGAAATGGCAAACATCTGGTTATCCGTGTGGCCATGTTATAAAAGTTGCTCTTCATTTAAACCAAGATGATTCAAGCGCATACGCTATGGATTGCTACACTACAGAAGTTTATCGACAGACTTATGCCGAGATTGTCTACCCTATTCCACATCCTTCTGAGTGGGACATGCCAGATGACTTACAAACAGTTTTGCCACCAGCCATGGACAGAAGGCTACCTGGCCGACCAAAAAGTCACGATCGTATACCGTCTAAGGGTGAAGAGAAGAAGAGATCGACATGTAGTCGGTGCAAGGAAAGTGGTCATACAAGGTTGACATGTGGATCACCAGTGCCATCAAAATCATCTTTTCCTCTACCAAAATATGGATCCTCATCAAAATCCAAAGCTCATATGGTGTCAAGCAAAAGGCAATCATCTTTAAAATCCCAATCACAATTGGCTTCACCTTTTGGGACTGTTAACTTAGGTGATTTTTAAATGCAAACGTTGTATTATGTGGATTTTATGTGTGAACTTTTAACATTTTCAGTTGAATCAATGACTCAGGCCAACCATTTTGACTTAACCAACTCTTGTTATTCAGTTGTTATCACTATTAGGCATGCATTTGACTATCGCAACACGGAAATTACAATCGCAACGAGAGAATCGCAATGCGAAATGAAAATCCCAACATGAAAATCGCAATGCGGAAATGAAAATCGCAACGAGAGAATCACAATGCGAAATGAAAATCGCAATGCGAAATGAAAATCGCAACGAGAGAATCGCAATGCGAAATGAAAATCGCAATGCGAAATGAAAATCGCAACGAGAGAATCGCAATGCGAAATGAAAATCGCAATGTGAAATGAAAATCGCAACGAGAGAATCGCAATGCGAAATTATAAACGCATTGCGATTCTCTCGTTGCGATTTTCATTTCGCATTGCGATTCTCTCGTTGCGATTTTCATTTCGCA